ATGTATGTGACGAATATCTTGAGACCTACAAATCTCAGTATTCTTGAGATTCTATAAATCTCACCTACCCTGGTGAAGTAAGAACTGGTATGATGGCAATTAGGCAGAGAAGTGACTTCAATGTCTCTGTACTCTCCTCCTCCATCATATCTCATTCTCTGCCCCCGCCCCACCCTGGGAGAGGTCGCAGGGAAGCAGCAGAGCCTCCATTTCCCTGGAGCACAGTCAGCCAGCTACATCAGATCAACAGGAGATCATGACCCACCAAGACTCGGCAGAGGATTCTGTTCTGTCTGCTCTTAGGACTTAGATGTAGCTTCATTTTATTCCTTTAAGCTAATTAGGGCAAAAGAATTGCTAAAGTCAGTTCTGAAAGACACTCAACGGTGAGGCCTTGAAGGCCCTGGGCCTGACAATTGGCTGCCTCCATGAGACCTAGGAGTACAGATGGAAGGCAGCTTGCTCAGGTGCCAGCCTGTCAGTTGGATTAAAATGACTCATTTATTTACCCAAGAACCTCACAAAGTGCTTTTACTAACAGGGAGAGGGGGCCTGCCGTCTCTCTGAGAAGGGACGCAGCACACTCGCCTCTGACGCCTTCCCGGCCTGCCAAAAGTCATTATTGCCGTGTGTGGAAAGCCATCAGCAGGGTCCAGGCCCCCGTTGTCCGGGTGACAGATTGGGCTGCGTAATCAGAGGAGGAAGGAGAGAGTGCAGAAGCTGTCAGAGGCGAGAGATCTTGGCTGGAGCCGCCAAAAAACTGGCAACATGAGTTAGCGTAACTGAGTAAACAGCAAACAATCTCCAAATGATCTTTCCGTTAACACAAACAAAATAAAATGAAAAAGATAAACTTTACCTAAAAAGCACACCCCAGAGAAAAGCACGAAAGTCTACATTTATTTGGGGCACAGAACTGACATTCTGTGACTCTCACAGCCTTATCTCCTTTGTCTCCTAGCCTCCTGGCATGGTGGAAATTTCCCAGGAGGAGAGGAAATTAAGAACTGCACAGACAGAACAGTATGCTTCAAGCGGAAAAAAATACTGAGAAGGTGGAGGAAAGCAGCACAGGTGATCTAGGTGCATCTTCCGAAAAAGAAATGCATGCGCTGGACAGCCAAGGAGGACGCCGAGGGACAGTCGGCACCCAGCAGGGGCTGCGGGTAGCTTCTTTCTGGGAAAAAGGTGACTGCACTCCATCCAGGGACAACCAAGGAGAGCCACCAGGAGACCAACAGAAAACCTAGTACCAGCCTGAAAATCAGGTGGCTCGGAAACTCCATTTTCCGGCCAGTCGGTGGTACTTCTGTTTATCAACTCATCAGCATAATGATGGTATTAAAAACCAGGTTCCTTTCCTCTGGCTTAGTGTGAGCTCTTCACTATAAGCAGGAGGAAATAATACTTTGCACATAATCCAGTGTCTGATATCTGATCCCTTTGGTTGCTTAATTCCACTTGGGAAAGTGGGCTTCGAACTTCCAATGCCTCGTTTCTGCTCATCCCTACTTCCTACTTACCTTGGCTTTTTCTTAGATCTAGTTTTCCAGAAGACACAAAATTACATTGTGAATGTGTAAGGATTCCTCGTCTTTCACAAACTGATTTCTTTTGCCCCCAACTAAGCTTTGCCTAGACTCCATCTTACCATAGTCACACCTTTACTCAACAGCCACAGTACACAAGCCACGTATCAGGGCTTGAGAGCTGCATGATAATTAAAAAGGTCCCTGCTTTTGAGATGTTTATAATTAAAATGAAATAAAACACACACACGCACCCTTAACAGTTCCTAGCAGGAAGGAAAATGAGGTGGGGGACTTTGTAACAGTAAAGGAAATAGCATAATTGTGAACTTTTGTGTGGGCACATCACTATTTCCAAATTTTCGTAAAGACATTCATTCTGGCCTTGTTAAAAGGATCTCGGGATGATAAATTAAAATGGCAAAAGGCACAGTATAAAGGGGGGAAAATCCCCACGTAACGATTAACAACACGATTGCTCTTTATCAAAAGAAGCCAGTTCTCCATCTGTCTCGTCCTGAAGTGGCCCTCGTTCCTCATTAACACCAAGGAGGCTCCTGGAGAGCGTTCAGATAGCCTGGCAAGCAACAGGCTGCTTAAAAGGATGCAGAGTGGCAGCATCTCCCCCGACCCAGGCATGATCTATTACAGCGTGTGCGTCCCACTCGCCCCAAAGCTCTCATATGCCAGAAGCGTCAGCTAGAGCAAACAAGCATGGCAGAAGGGGCAGGAACACCAAGAGAAGCGAAGGACTTCCCATGACTGGGAACCTGCGCTCCTGCTCTGGCCCAGCAACCGAGAGAAACGAATCCCACGCGGTTCTTCTCCAGTCATCTTCACTACACAGCAAAGAGAGCTCCCAAAAGATCAGCAAACTGAAGTGACCTGGACTAGAAAATGAACAAAGACTGAGGGCTTTAGACAAATCAGGCTGTGGGCGAGGGAGTTTTCTTTACATGTGGCACCCGGGACTGGCAGGGTGCAGAGGGCTGGGAGGTACTGTGCTTTGCCAAGACAATGGCATTCTTTGTCTAGCTGATACCATGTGCCTGCAGGTATCATCCGATAGACAGAACAAGGAAAGTGATCGTATGCTTTTGACCTCACCAAGAATTATATTAACTATTTCAGAAAGAATAATCTTCTCTTCCATGCAGAGCTACTAAAAATACAAACAGCGGAACTTCAGATACCTGGAGTTTTCCTTAAGGCTTACAGCTCACCCGTGTCTGTAAAGCGTTTGCATACTGGGAGACTCAACAATTTCCGAGGCATAAATCCAGCATGTTATGGGTCAAAGATAAAATATTCTGTTCCTATCATAACCTGAACTCCACCCCAAAGGTTCCTACTGCTTTCTATTTTGACAGTCCAGAACATTCACTTCTTGGGTAACACCAGAGGAATGAAAAACCCATTCCCAGCGAGCAAGTCTATTAATGTCTGTCTTTAGAAAAACACACACACTGGTAGCCCTCAACATCGAGTTTCTTGGGCCCCATCTATTGCCCCCAATTCGATCTACAAAACCAAGCACCTACTGCGTGCCTGCTCTGTGCTAGACACTGGGATAGAAATGCAACCAAATTACAGTCCTTGTCTTCACGATGCTTACGACTGGCTGGGAAGGTACCTAGACCAGGCGGGATAAGCATTACGGTGAAGAAATGAAGGGTGCACTGGGATGGCCTCATGGGGAAGAACAGGGGGCTCCTGAGTTTCATTTCTCTGAAGACATAAAATTTAAGGGGACACCTAAGGATGGTTTAGTCAAAATCATGGTAGTGTTCCAGGCAGAGGGACTAGCATGAACCAAGGCTCCAAGGCCAGAAAAAGCCAGATGATACATTCGAGGACTGAAAGAGGGGGCTGTTTGGCTGAAGGGTAGGGAACAAGGGGGAGTAGGGTGAAAAGAGACAAACAAGGGTCAGGTTCCACAAAGTATTGTGAGATATAATAAGGACTGTTGACAAGTTTTTCTTTTGAGACAAGGTCTCACTCTGTTGCTCAGGCTGGAATGCAGTGGTGCAATCACAGCTCACTGTAGCCTCGACCTTCTAGGCTCAAGTGATCCTCCCGCCTCAGCCTCCTGAGTAGCTGGAACTATGGGCACGTGCCACCACGCCTGGCTAATTTTTAGTCCTTCTTTTTTTTTGTGGAGACGGGGTCTTGCTATATTGTTGCTCAGGCTGGTCGTGAACTCCTGGGCTCAAGCGATCCTCCCACCTCGGCTTCCCAAAGTGGTGGGCTTGTAGGCGTGAATCACCGCACCTGGCCCAACAAATTTCTTTAAGTAGATTATTTAGAATTTATCTTCACTATAGGCCATGCATAAAGCTGGCTTTAGAACAAGCTTGAACATCTGACTCGTGGATGGGCCTCATAAAGGGAAGGACTTGGTCAGACACAGATCTCCTCAGGAGGCAAGCATTCCATGGTGACAGCTCTCAGGCCTGAATGAGTGTCAGCAGAGCCACTGTTTGCCTCGCACACATGAGAACCAACACTGTGATAAGCAGGTTACCAACAAGCCCCCTCTTGCAGGTGAGCACACATATATATACACACAAGAAACCATGCTGCACTCATACAGAAACTCAACACTTAGACAGAAAAGTCTCCATTGCCTTTAATAGTGAATATGGAATACAAGTTCCTTAAAAAGTAATTGCATCAAATGTGGCCTAGATGGGCATTCAAACAGCTTAGTATCTTTGTTTCTACCCAGCACTTGTTCACTGGATTGACTAAATTTATAGTACAATTTCATTACTGTATATATAGGAACTTCTCCATTAACCAGCTGGGGATTAAGTTACATCATCCAAGATGGAACAGAGAAGGCATTTTAATCTTTGGAGATAGCAACAACTACGGTAAAGTGAATCCCCGGGTGGTGGGGACAGAACACTGAAGGTGTGAGTTTTTAATCTCGAAAGAGCACAAGAGGCATGAGTTTAAAAGGTCAGTGTTGTGCTGGAGGAGGCAGCTATCCAGGACTGCAGAGCCTGAGGCTGAGGGAGCTGGCCCTGAAATCACAGGGCAAATGACAGTCAGAGACAACAGCAAATAAAATTGGCCCAAATGCACCAATTTTCCTTTAAGAAAAGGTGAGCAGAGGCAAGCAGAGTCATTTTGTTGTGGAAAGACTTTCTCAGCTCTAATTACTCCCGATAGCTGTAATTTACAAGTTTTGGGTGGATAGAAATCTCCAAGATTCACACATTTTCAGACCAACAGCTGCCACTATTAGTGAGCAAATTGCCAAGTCTTCTGCACGGTGGTGGCCGGCTATCTGTGGCCCTGTCAGGTAACAAGAAAGAAGTGCAAAGAGGCCAGCCCCACCAAGGGGCCCCTAGTGTTCCTGGGCCCTGTAGGACTGACCACAGGACAAACTGTCAAGAGACAAAAAATTGCACAGCCATCACAGAAATGTATCAGCCTTCGCATGGAAGACAGGACGATACGTACCGTGCAAAGAAGGACGCCTCTCCTGGAATGTGAAAATTCCTGAAACACTGCTGTTCTTTCCTACAAAAACAAGGAAAAATAGAGCTTTACAACTCAGAGACAAACTCCAGCAAGGTAGGCTTAGATCTCCCTAGCTCGCTCCATCTCCTACTGCTAGAGCTATTTTCAGGCACAGAGAGGCTTGCCAGGAAAGAGGAAGAAGTGGATTCTTTATATCTTCTAAGATGACCTTGTACTTACAGGACCAGACTTGAGGCTACGGTGAAGTAGCAGGGGTTTTGAGGGTGCACATTTCTGGGAGACAGTACCAGGGGAGGCACACCCTCCAGGAATGGCCAAAAACAAGAACAGGAAGGTGCAAGCTCCTGCGTGCAGGGTTCCAAACCTGTGTGCAATGTATTCTAAACATTCTCCTACAAGTGCTCTGAAGGAATAAAGAATCACCAACCTTCTCTACAGGCAGTTTTTAAAAAGATTAGATATGGCCGGGCGTGGTGGCTCAAGCCTGTAATCCCAGCACTTTGGGAGGCCAAGGCAGGCGGATCACGAGGTCAGGAGATCGAGACCATCCTAGCTAACATGGTGAAACCTCGTCTCTACTAAAAATACAAAAAAAAAAAATTAGCCGGGTGTGGTGGCGGGCGCCTGTGGTCCCAGCTACTCGGGAGGCTGAGGCAGGAGAATGGCGTGAACCCGGGGGGTGGAGCTTGCAGTGAGCCGAGATTGCGCCACAGCACTCCAACCTGGGCCACAGAGCGAGGCTCCATCTCAAAAAAAAAAAAAAATTAGATATTTATAAAACTATGTATTTTAATTGGAGAGAAAATATATTTGCATTAAAGGAAGAAAATAAAATACCACTCAAGGCAAACCACCACTACCACTGGGAATACTTTGATGTTTCCCGAGTTCCCCTTTTATGCATCACATACCCAAATATGTAGCTTTCCAAAAACATGGCACCCTACTATTTATACTATTAACATGCTCTTAGATAGCAACAGAATATGAACATCTCTTCATGCCAATAAGTATCCAAAGACCAGGTCATCTGTTGTGGTGAAACAGTACTCAGCTAAATGGATGCGCCATTATTTATTTGACCAATGTTGTATGCAGTGAAGGTTGTTTCTGATTTTTTTTTTTTTTTTTGAGACAGGGTCTCATTTTGTCACCCAGACTCACTGCACAATCTCAGTTCACTATAACCTCCACCTCCCGGGTTCAAGTGATCCTCCCACTTTGGCCTCCTGAGTAGCTGGGACTACAGGCATGCACCACGATGCCTGGCTAATTTTTGTATTTTCTGTTAGAGACGAGGTTTTGCCATGCTGCCCAGGCTGGTCGTGAACTCGAGCTCAAGCAACTCACCAGCCTCAGCCTCCCAAAGTGCTAGAATTACAGGCGTGAGCCACCGCGCCCTGCTGATTTTGTAATATTGCAATCAATGCTGTGACAAACATCTCTGTAAATAAGTCACTGTGTAGATTCTTAATTACTCTCTTAGGTTAAATTCCTAGAAACAGACTTGCTGGACCAAAAGGTGAGCATCCTAGAATGCTTTCAGTATGAGCCTGCAACGGTGCCTTCTGAACGCTCTTCAGTCATGATGCTCTATGCATTTGAGTTGGTCACATTCACCCGTCAGCAGCAAATACAAAGAAATAGAACCAAACTACCCAAAATCTGGAAAAAAGTAAAGTCTCTGTTGCTTTGGCACAGTCACTGTGTGCTGTGGCATGTCTTTCTGGGCTTTCATGTGCGTAGATTTTGTCCATGGCTGGAAGCCCAGGGCACACCTCACTGAGTACACTGGATAAAGACATACAAACAACAAACATTCATTGAGTGCTCACCACATACCAGACACTGGCTTAAGCACCTCACACGTCTGAACTTCGCTAATCCTCACAACAACCCTATGTGTAGGTATTATCATCACCCCATTTTCCAGAAGAAAAAAACTGAGGCACAGACAGGTTAAGGAACTTGCCCAAAGGACACACACACATGGTAAAGGGCCGGAATGATATCCGAACCTGGGAACTGTGTTCCTGAGTCAGTGCTCAGACCCTCAAAAGGACAGATCCATTTGTCCAGTCTGCTGCACGGTCTTTATAAATGATCATTTTTGACGGCTGTATCTTAGAATCAGAATCAGAAAAAATCGAAAAGTTCGTAAAAGCTTACGAAAGACCTTAAAGACTAGTTATGATGTATTCAGATTTGAGGCAAGAAAAAAAAACCTACCAAACTCTGGGACTTTCATCACAACTACCCAATGCTCAGAAACTTACTTAGAATCATGTCAGTCATCATCACAACTACCCTGCAAATAGTAACTTCTATCCAATGCTCAGAAACTTATTTAGAATCATGTCAACCATCTAAGGAGACCATGCTAAGGCCTTGTAGGATAGTGGCCAGGGTAATAAGTCAGGAAAACTTAAGTGGGACAGTTTCAGCTTAGTCTGGAACAAGAAACTTACCCCTAATACTTAGAAAATAAAACACAGGGATACTATAACCTCCTGTCTTCCACTGCAAAAGCTAAATACTACACAGACACTCTCCTTTTTAAACTACAAAAACGCAATTTCAATTATAAAAAAAAAAAACTTTTAAACTGTAAAAACAGAACTATTTCTGAAAGACAGATAAAAACAATAATAATAAAGGCGCTTAACATTTACTGAGCACTTCCTGTGTGCTACGCCCTGTACGGAGAGCTCTGTCTGCATTAACTGAGTCCACCCTAAAGGAAGTACAATTATCAACCCCACTTTAGAGACATGGAAACTAAGTCACAGAGAGGTTAAATATTTACCTGAGATTACACAGCCAGCAACTGACAGCCAGGACAGGACCGCAAGCAGTGTGCCCCCAGAGGGCACAGCTATAAACAGCACGCTAGACTACTCCCCTGTTACAGTGTGAGATGAACAGCTTCTGTATAATGAAGCTATAGACTCTTGTATGTGATCTATTATAGCGAATTCCTAGACTGTTCTGAGTCCATACCCAGCTTCCCCCAATCACTTGGATCGACGCCGCAGAACGCCTCTGGTAAAAACAGACTCATAGGATTAGTAAACAAAGCTTAAAACAAAAACAAAACCCCAAACCATTAATGGTATTAAAAAAATAAAATCAACAAGTTTGATTGAATCAGGGATCCGAAGGTAAAGACCAAGAGTTTACCTAATGCACAAGGGCTGGAATATTCAGGGATTTCTATATAATCTTGTGGCAAATAACCTGTGTCCTTGAGTGACCTTGAGCAAGTTCGCTTTTCTGGGCCTCTATTTACTTCAGTATTAAAACAAAAGAGCAAAAGCAAAGAGAGGTTGGACTTGTTTAGGATCGTATCAAACCTCTGGTGTCCCTTTTAGCTCTAAAAATGTTATGATCTTTTAAGCTGGCTCAAATCAAATCTCATTCCGATTTCTAGTTTTCTTTCCCACAATTTGCGAAGCTGCCTGGTACCCTCTCCTCTAGGGCAAAATGGCTCCTACTTCCGAGTCTTGCTCGTCCTTTCTTTCCCAATTCCAGTGAGCATATCTCACTCCCGTACTCCACCCCGACTCCCTACCAAACGGCCTAGTTAAGAGTGGAGGAATGTGATTCACACAGCTAAGTCCCTAAAATAGAGGAAATATTGTACTCTTCTTCGTGAACGGAAATCTTACTCCGTGCCGAGAAAGAACTGGGAGCCCGCAGCCCCTTTGGTTCACAGTACCCTCTCCCAACCGAAAGTGTTCTGAGTGCAGCGCTGTGTCTTGTTGACAATGACAGCAGCCGTGCTCAGCAGTACCATATGGGATCCACAATTTAGCTCCATTAATGCTCTTAATTTGAAGACATCAAGCCCTAATTACACACTGGGTACTAAAAAGGCAAAACCCTTCCCTGGTGCCAGCTACTTAGTGGTACTCTGTTGCCTTAACAGCTGGTTGAGGTAGATTCAGGCCAAGTCGGGGCCTGTGAGCTCTCTCGGGTGGAAGAGACCAGCTCCCGGAGCAAAAGCAAATGGGAACAATAGACTCTCCTTGCCCACATCAATCCAGCAGTGTGATCCCCTCTAGTTCCAGTGGGTCCCCCATTTTCATCTAATTCTTGACTTGCCCAGTGGAGTGTGCAAGGGTCGTAGCCATTGCTGAGCTTAAAGAATAGGTTTGCGGGACTCAGGTTCGTCCCCATCTCCACGTGGGGCCACGGTGCTGTCGCTGCACAGGAAGATCAGTGCTCACCTCCTGCTCCATGTTGCCATGCAGCCGTAGGAATTTTAATCGCGTGGAGGCAGATGGCAACTGCCCTGATGCCGGCGCCCCTGAGCTGCTCAGCAGGGTCTGTAGGAAGAGGCTGTAGTGGAACTCCACCAGCTCGCAACTTGAGAAAAAGACAACCATCTTCTGGTCTTTCTCAAACTACATGATACAAAGGAAGGAAAACCCCACATATTTTAAGATTACATGACGCCAAAATGAGTATTTCTCCAAACTGTACACTCATGCTGACCCCCATTTGGAAATAAAGGTGACTATCTTTGAATTATTTTAAAAAACAAAAACAGTGATATTGCACTCTACAAAGAATGCAGGAGAAGAAAACGACACAACTATCATTTCAAGCGGGTTTCCCTTATCTGACAAAAATAAACACACTTCAGAGCACAGCTGGGTGGGAGCTCCATTCCCCTTATTCATCCAGGGCTTGCCACAGCAACACTACCTGGCTGAGACCCTACACATGCAGAAAATCTTCACCCTGAAGCCCTTCCACTTACTATCTTCTCACGTCTCAGAGTCATCACAGAAGTCTAGTAAATAAATGCACAAATGCCAGGACTCTTGGAGAAACATGAGCACAAGCCCCTATGTCTGCCTCACATCCAGCTGTTCCCGCCACCTGTGATGTGCCTACTATCAGTCCCAGGAAAGGTATCGAGGACAGATTTCAAGCTGAACATCATAGTTACCATTGACCTCTGATTCTTTACCATAATCCTAAAACTTGACTGAAAGGATGTACACCAAAGTTTGCATCCGGAATGCAGACATAAGTTGGAAAACCTCTGATTTTTGGTGTCTTAACTCATTGCTACCAATGGCTTAACACAAGAAAGCAGGCCTTTCTTCCCCGGATCAAGCTGGCACTAGCCCACAGTCCCACCTTGCATTTCTGAAGGATGAAGGCCGCTAGGCAGACAAGCCTCAGTTTGCTGGGAACCACAGTCACGTGCTGCTCGAGACTCTCTGGTATTGCAAAGTTGTCCAGCTCGTCGCCAGTTGGTGGAGGACAGACCTCCCGGACTGCTTTGTCCTTTGGGTTCAACTGGTCATGGCTCTTGTCCAGGACGGAAATACTGACTGGATCATGCAAACTGATATCAGCTAGCCGCGTTACACCTTGGATAAAAGGGAGAAGGGCAAAGCAGACAACAAACACACCGTGAAACTGGTCACAAAAGCGTACCCCCTATACACACCCACCCATGAATGTAAGGACTATGTATGTCACCCCATGGGCATCACCAAGTCCCAGCACTGATCTGCCCTAGTGCCAACGTGTGTGTGGCGGGGAGATCTACCAAAACTTCTTCCCACAGCCTAACAGCCAATCTGTACCAACGTTCTATAAACACTCACCTATGGAACAGCGTCCAAAAGACAGCGACAGACACTGCGCCCACTCCCACCTCCCAAAAGGGTTCTTTGATCAAGTAAGTTATGGTAAACCTTGGATTTCAAAGGTTTCACAAAAGCTTCTTTGCTCTAAGCAGCCCTCTCAGGGCCTTTATGATGTTAATGTGGCCTGAGAATATCCAACGGAGGGATGTGGGGCATTTCTCAAACTTTCTTGACCACAGAATCTCTTTTTCATGAATCATCCCTCAAAATTTAGAACATGGGGAACCGTGAGGGGTCACATGCATGGCATCTGGTACATGCACATCACAATGTGGCCTAGTAAACCAAGGAAACCAGACACGAGAATGTGAAAGCTGCACTGCTGGTCAATGACTCACTGTGTGGGGTGATTCTGGTAGAGTGATGCAACTTTTCCAAGCCTTCATGTTCCCACTGATAAAAGAGAGCTAAGAATTTCTATTGCATATGGATGGAAGACAGAGAAGAGCTTCATTGATATATTTTTTAAGTTCAATAGCTCTATTAGGAGGAAGAGTGATTACACCAAAAATGCACTCAGATAAGAGGTCATCATCTTCAGTGCAAGGGCCCTGCTCTCTGTGGGTTGCAAGTGCAAAAAAACCTCATGAAACCACCAAGCCAACGGCAGCCAGTCTTTTCTCGTCCTCATCCCTGCCCTTTCTCCCTTTCCCCATGTGCTGGGGAACATATCTGTCTTGGATGACTTGAAGAGCGAAGCTGGGAGTGCTGAACATACAGTTTGAAAAGGCAGTCTTCTAAGGACATCTCCCTCCCTGCCCCTCACCTCCCTGAGGTTGAGAATCACGGCAGCAAACAACCCAGATTAAATCTAGGTCCTTCCTCTTCATTAAGAACAAAGAAGGACCCATCACTTCTTTCCAACTCACCTTCTGTGAGTGTCGCTGATAGTAAGACGTTCTGTCGTTTCTGGCATTCAGCGTTTACAGCATTAAGTATCACTGTGATGTCCTTTTCAAAACCCAAATCCAAGATTCTGTGGTTGTAAAAAAAAGAAATTTTCATCTATATGAAGAGCAAATGTGGTCTAAAGGGCCACAGAAGTTGCAACAAGGAGAGCAGAAACAGCCCTTCTCTTCTACCTGTCATCATCCTGGGACGAGGCTCACCTGTCTGCTTCATCAAACACCAACCACCGCAGCCGACTAAAATGAATGTTCTTTGTGGATTTTATATGATCCACCAGGCGTCCAGGAGTTGAGATAAGGATATTTATTCCTTTGCGGAGTCTGTTTAAAATTATATATCATAAAAGAAAGTAAATCAAACAGGGCTACGCTAATAGAAAACACAGGAAAAAGGCAAAAGAGACAGACTCATTTCATGTACAGTACAAACGTGCCATAGCCTGAAATCATGACAAAACATAAAAACTGGGTAGAAAGCTGTGCTTGAGTCTTTCCCTGTACTGTGAGATGCAACTGTTATGATCTGAAATTACATTAAAATCATAAAACCTTAACTTTGAAAGGAATCATAACTACATAATCCAACGCTCTTTATCTGATTCACAAATCCTTTCTAGAACCTTTCAAAGAGATTGTAGTCTAGCCTGTTCTTGAAGGTTTCTGTGCTAGGGAATCTAGTATCTGAGCAAGTTATCCCATGCCAGTGTGCTTCAATTGCTAGGACACTTTTTTCTTATGCTAAGCCCTTTACATAACTTCCATACAACGGGGCTCAAAGCTTTGTCCCATGGGTTATATACAATAAATCTAATTTCTCATTCCCCAAACAACCATTTTCCTATTAGTCCATAGTAATAAAGGCTTCCAATTTTTAGCACATTTTTTTTT